CTGAGACATAGACAGCAGAATGAGATCAATCTATCCCTGTACATTAAATAGAGGGTTTAGTTCAAAATTCCTGGAAGTTTACACAGATCAACATACTCCTGATGAAGGCCAGAGGGCACAATTCTCGAAACATTGTGATAACAACAACAAAGATGTGAACAATAGTCCGAGTGTAAATAATGATAGCTTGGAAATCCATACTGAAATTAAACTACTGATCATTGTCACCCCACTTATATGTCACCCTTTATACATATTTCCGAAATGTCTCCTTCAAGCTTTCTTCTGTTGTTTCTAGTGTTGATTGCAATTGCTGTTCTGCAAAATGACCCTTACCTCCATGACATTCAACGTGGACCTATCTATAAAGACGAGCCTCATTCTCTCTTTACACTGTCTGTGAGTACTTAGCACAACTGACCCGTCACATATACCATGGTTTGCTTTGTAATGGGCAGTGGGCAGACCCACATTACATAGCACCTCCAGAAGCATGACTTACTGGCAAACTCACATGATATGCTGTTCATTCCTATATTTGAATTCCATAGTCAAATTTGTTTTAGCTCGTTCCCATGGCAGTTGTCTATTGCAGTTTGATTGGCTGGCAAATAAAGGCAACAAACTTCTTTTTCTTTTTTTTTTAACTGATTTTTATTTATTTTCTGTGGGTGAATCTGATGAAGAATGTGGGAAATTCAAGTCTCAAGTAAATAAAATAATGCAAAATAGATAATTTCTGTTTGTGTATTTGAGTATTGAATTGACTTTTAATCCCATTGACTTTTCATAAAATCACACTTGTTCTAACACTCATTATACATGTCTACAACCATAACATTTAGTGAGGTGACGATGATCCATCTTAGCATAAATATTTTCATGGAATAAATTTTATGAAAAACATTTCTGTATTTTTATCAACAAATTTAAAAGAAAAAAAATCCAATGGATTTTTAGTTTAAAAATTCTCTCCTCTAGTGACATAGATTGCTGTGAAGGCCTAGCCTATTCTTGAAGCTGACAGCACATCACAAATCTTTGTTGATGTTTGAACTCAAAAGACTTGGTACATCTTACACATTTATAAATCTACCATTCATTCATGCATTGAATATTGCTGTCATATCTGGTCTGGTGTTCTTGCTATATATCTTGAGATTCTAAACAAAATCCAATGGGTCTGTATTGTTATTGATCTTGACCTGGCATCTCGACTTCAGTTACTTTCCCACTGCCATGTTGTAGCTTCCCTCTGTCTTTTCTACATAAATTTTCATGGCAACTTTTCTACCTTCGTATCTTAAGTGTACTATTAGATTGGCTGCTAGATCTCACCATTTTACTGATTAAAAGCGATATGTTCTCTTTTAACAGTTTTTTTAACAGTTTTTTTTTTAAACAGTTTTTTTAAACAGTTTTTTTCTCACATTTCTCAACTGTGGGGTTCTTTTCCCGTTCATTGCTTTCCTACAGTGGTGGACCTACACTTTAGGGTCCTGAAGTTTGAACCGATCTTGTGGGCCCCATTACAACCAGCAACAATAAATTTGAAGATCCAATAGCCAAAATACTGGTGAGGTCAATGAGCCCATAAAACTGGGGGTTCAATCCCCCAATAAATTTTGAAATTTGACCACTACCAGAAGAATTTTGAGACCATATGAAATGGGTATTAGAGCATATTCTACGACCAACATTAGCAACTTTAACCCATTGGCACATGATTCTATCATTAAAATGGCCTTATTTTAATAAACACTTAAAAACAAAAAACCTATCAGTTTTGCTGAAAACTTCAATCATTAAAGAAGTTTGCTTTAGGGTCCCCTCTGGGATTTAGGGGGCTTAAGCTTCATTACTTTTCATAGTAGGTTCTCCACTGCTTCCCTGCTACCTACAATCTTCAAAAATTCAAATGCAACATCAGTCTTCCTGAACCCTGTTCTTTTATTGTCCTTCCTCTTTACTAAAGTCTTCTCATTCTCTTTCACTCCCTTGGGTGAAAATGAAAAAAAAATATTTTCTTTACTTTAACTTCTCCATTCGCCATGATTGCATTAAGGGAGACAACTCTGTAATTTAATGCCGCGGTTATTTATTGACTGAAACATATCACAAATTACAGTTCTATTCTTAGCCAGCAATACGGAAGTAACTAAATAAATAATACTTTACAAAAATCTGTTATTTTCCAAACAATATCTTCTGGAAGTAAAAGATCTTTTTTTTTTCTTTCTTCTATGAATAAAAAGTCATTGCATTTTTGCCAATTTTATTTGAGACTTGACTATTATTCTGCATTCTTTCAGACACCTTGAAAAAAATTTATATACAAAAAGTTGCAATTTTTCTGCTTTTTCTGCCACCTCCATATGTTTTGCTATTGTTATTACTGTTCATTATAGACGTCACAATTAGATTTATCCAAACCTTTTTTATCTTTTTCACTTCGTCAACATTTGTAAATCCTAAATGTACACTTTTATCTTATTTGAAATTGCAATGTTTTATGCCAAATAGAAAAGATGGGCTGCCATTTTTAATTCCTATATTGTTGGCTCTAACTGACACATTTACAGACTCTTATTTGTTGCTTTAATCTTTGTCAAAGTATATGTTCAATTAATTAATAATTATTTAAAAGAAACAAAAAACAAATTGTTCTTGTGGTTGAGCATTTAATAAAAAAAGATTTTTTTATTATCCCTGTACTCTGTCCCATTGTCAGTCAGCTGAGCCTGATTATGTTCACTTAGCATTAATGCCCTTGGGAACGGTAAGAATACACATCTTTCTGCAGGATCACATTTGCCAGCCAACTAAGGCGACTAATGTCCACTTAGCACGAATACTCTAGGGAAAGGTATGGATCCATATCTCTGTGCCATTGTCAGCCAACTGAGGCTGGTTATGTTCACTTAGCACTAATGCCCTCAGGAAGGGCATGAATCCATATACTTTTCCAAGTATTAATGCCCTTGAGAAAGACACGAACCCATATTCTTGTGCTCTGCTCTATTGCCAGTTAGCTAAGGCTGATTATCTGTCTATATTTCTGAGATGAGGTATTATGTACACTATTTACATTCTTCAGACTATTGTCCTCATCTTTGTCGCCATATTTATTACAATGTTTCGGCCGTTGCACGCTCTGGCCTTTTTCATGTGGTTGGAATGTTGAACTGAACCCTTTATTTCACTCACTAGGGTAGACTGTTCTAGTTAAACATGGCATATGGAACTGAGCGAAATAAAGGGTTCCGTTTGACATTCCAACCACCTAAAAAAGGCCGAAGCGTACAATGGCTGAAACGTAATAATTATGACGACAAAGATGAGGACAGTAGTCTGAATAATGTAAATAGTAAGGCTGATTATGTTCACTTAACACTAATGCTCTTAGGTAAGGCATGAACCCTACATGCAAGATGCTAATGTCACCAATGGCAATGCCAGCAGTCCTCTGGTGGCAGCCACTAGTGGTCCACAAGTGGTAACATTGCCAAGACAAACACGTCAGCAGTCACCAGCAGTAAACGTTAGTGGCATGCCACCAAGTGGCAGATTGGTGGCTCGTGTGTAGGGAATCCATGTCCCTGTCCCATTGCCTGTCAGTATTAATGCCCTTTGAAAAGGCATGAACCCATATCTCTGTGCTCTGTTCCATTGCCAGCTGGTTGTGTTAGCTTAATACTAATGCCTTTGGGAGAGGTAAGAATACATATTGTTGTACTGATTTCCATTTAACAGGCTACCTAAAGTCTAAGGCTACCAATGTCTAATTAGCACTAATGTTCTTGGAAAAGGCATGAATCAATACCTCTGTACTCTCTCATTTGCAATCAACTGAGGTTTGTAATATTCACTTAGTACTAATGACCTTGGGAAAGGCATGAATCAATATCCCTGTCTTCTACCCAACTGCAAGTCAGCTGAGGCTCGTGATATTCACTTAGCAATTTGGAAAAGGTATGAATTCACATCAGTGGTCATTGTCCCTTTGCCAGGTATCTTGATAAAATGTGTCTCATCTTTAACATGCCCCAAAAGTTGACAGGTAAGAATAGTTGTATAAGCCTTGTAGACAAACTGCTTTCATAATTACTTTACCTACCCAAACAGTAAAAAGTTGTTACACTCTGTAATAACAAAAGAGAACAAGAGTAGTCTTAATAAAGCTTTATTTTGCTTAAAATAATTTATACCAGTGTAGTGACTATTTATAGTCTTCTACAAATGAAAGAGTTCTCTGAAGGGAGGTAATCATAAAACAAGGGAGATTACTCCTGATAACTTTATCACACTCATTGATTACCTTGAAAGGGGCTAGTTTATTAATATTATTTGTAAAAATTTTGGATTATACCTGTAAATAGAAGTTAACCTAAGAAACTAAAGCCTTTTTTAAGGATGCTACTGAAATATTTGCCCCCCCCACCCCCGACACAATTTTTCAGATTCTCTTCATTTTTTTTTTCTTTTTTTTTTTTTTTTTTTTTTTATATTTCTGCATAACAGCTACTTTATCCAATTCTTCTTTCCTTGTATTCCAGAAAACTCTTTGGCTCCAAAACTCTGCAGCTAAATTATATTGGAAATCATCAAAAATTGATAATGCTAACCCAAGTGAATTCTAAGATCTACCAAAAAGTGTGTGTTCAGTTAGAGCCAAGAGATTATAGATCATAAAAATGATAGCACCAATGTTGTTTTGTTTTTGTTTTTTTTTTCTACAAAGTTCAAGTTTGAATTCTTTTTTTTTTTCTTTTCTTTCTTTTCTTTTTTTTTTTTTTTTTTTTTTTTTTTTTTTTTAGACATGCATTTCCATAGATGGTTAATCATTTTCTTCCCTCTGCACTTCCTTGAATTCACTGACCAAATCTCCTTTTGTTGTTTGTCAAATTTAATTTTTTTTCTTCTTTCTAGTGCCACTTAGTCTAAGGCAGTTTTAGTTGTGCTTTATTTATTTGTCGCATTTTTGCATGCACCTCTTCCAGGAATTACCGCTTTTTACTGGGCACAGGGGAAGATTCCCTTTATTCCTGGAACTGAGATTCCGCGATTCAACTATTATTTGGCACCTGTAGCTGTAAGTACCAACAATCCTGTATGAGAGATATATATTTTAATTTATTGTTTAAATGTTATTTTTAATGCATACCCATATTTGAGTAGATGGTCTGTTTTTATTTATTTATTAAACAGTATATTTATTTCCATCTATCGGCCTGAATATTTAAGAAATATGCACCCTTTGGCGGGATTCAAACATGCATCTCCTAGAGGAAACTGTCATTAGATCTGACATTCCTTAACTTCTTGGCCAAAACGAACCTCCTGGTCAAACAAAGCACTAGTTGGGCTTTGTTTGACCAGGAGGTTCTTCATAGCCACTTACATTGAATTCAACATCCAGTGGTAGCAGTTTGTTTTATGCTTCAATACTATTGAATGGCCTGACGATTAAGCATGAAACAAAATGTCACTGCTGTGGTACTGATTTCAATGTTCACTTTTATTTTTACATCCAATCTATCCCTAATATTGAGCACTTTAACCCATAAATATAGCAGGCCTTAAAACTATTTTTTATACAGGGTGTGATGGATAAATTACACAAAAATGAAAATAATACTGTTGTCTCATTTTAACAGATATATTTACCAAAATTACACAAAAATATCTTGAAATACTAAAGAGTAAATTTATTCAATAAAACTGCTATTGGCTTCAACCATGGCCTCCAGATAACTTCAGAATCTCCTGCAACTCTTCTAGACAGTCTTCTTGTTTAAGTTGGTGAATGCTGTCATAATCCTTGCCTTCAGTTCATCTTTGGTGTTACAAGGAGTTTTGTTTGTTTCTCACTCAGCTCTGCCCCACACATAATAATCAAAGGAGTTGCAGTCTGGAGAGTTAGGTGGTCAGATGTAAGGGGTGATGGTTGAAGAAATTGACTGACAGCCATGACTGGCTTCTCCTGCTTGTGTGACATGGTTCAGTCCTGTTGCCAGACATAGGGTCTTCGAGCAGCCACACTCTTGACCCCCAGGGCTGCACTACCTTCTCAAGGCACTTGATGTAGGCCTCCGTGTTGAGTCTGAGGCCCTGTGAGAAGATGAATAGAAGCATGTTGCTGCTATCACTAGTGAATATTCCAAACACCTTCATAATCACCATTAGACTCCTCCAACTCTTTCCGAATCCGCTGCACTGTCCTCAGATTGACACCCAAACCCTCTGAAATGTTTGCATTGGAGCTTCAGGCCCGAATGCCAAGCAGTACTGTTTCCAAATTTCTGGCAGACTGAATTGGATCATAGTGCTCTTTTTCTCACAGACGGTGCCCAACTGACCCTACTATACTGTGAAGTTGACAAAATAAAAAACAATGTTCATGCAAGAAATTAAAAATATAAAAAGGCGACAATTTAACCATTGCACCCTGTATATAATGAAGGATGCTAATTGATGTAATTTAATAATTACATACCAATGCCTAAGCTTCATGCCTGCAAAAAAACACTGTCTCAAAAGAAGGATTTTTTCCTTGACACTGCTATTATTTTACACCTGAGAAAAACTGGAGAGCACAACAGTCGAAATGTTGTGATAAAAACAACAAAAATGAAGACAATAGTCCAAATATAAATAGTGTAAATAAAAAAAAAATATTTAAAATAAACAGCACATCTACTCAAATATGGATTTCCACTAAAAAAGTTATATATATATATATAAGTATAAAAATCTTTATTAATTTAACATGTTTTGGTATTTACTTGCCTTTGATATTTTTGCAAGCGAGAAAAATGCAGTCATATATCAATTATTAAATTTTATATTTGCTTTGTTGTCATTAGTTGTGTGCATGTCACAGCATCTGTATTTCATTTTTTGAAATGTCAATGCAATTTTAGTGTCTATAAAAAATTAGGTTTATTTGTGTATTTTAATTGTGTAATGAATACGACGAATGTTGAAAGTGAATGGTTAATGATACGTTACATCATCTGCGAAGGTTTGGACCTTACATTCTTTAATTGTAGATCTTGGTGAATAATTTTAATAGGTTATCCCATCAAAGGTTGCATCTGTGTTCATAAATGCTGACCTTTAGATTTCAAGATGTCTCACCTATATATTTTTATATGACACTAAGTATTTTAATAGGTTATCCCATTAGAAATCTCTTCTGTGTTCATAAATTTTAGCCTTTAGATTTCTAGTTGCCTTACTTATATATATATATATATATATATATATATATATATGTATTTCTCATGACATGGCAGGTAGTCTGTCTTATTAACAATAATATTATTCATTAACATGCACTTAATATTGGTGTAATTTAAATGTCTATTAAATAATTGGGTATATTAGTGTATTTTATTTGAATATAAGATTTGACGAATATTTGAAGTGAATATATAATAATAGGTTACATCTTCGGCAAATGTGAGTGCTAAATTTTCAATGATTGTAAAGGGGGGCTAATGGTTATCAATAAATCATAAGAGGAACAGAATGGTGTGCAATGATTGTAAGGAAGTACAAATGGTCAGCAACGATTGTAATTGAGAGCAAATGGTTGACAGTGAACATAAAAGGAGTGAATAATTTGTAATGAACATAAGAGGGAGTGAATGGTCACGAGTTATTGTAAGAGGGGGGGGGGGCGAATGGTCAGTAGCTATTGTAGGTGAGGGGGCAAATGGTTAGTAGTTATTGTGGATGGGAGCGAAAGGTCAGTAGTTATTGTTTGGGGTGAGAATGGTCAGTAGTTATTGTAGGGGGCAGGCGAATGGTCAGAAGTTATTGTAGGTGAGGGGGCGAATGGTCAGTAGTTATTGTGGGGCAGGCGAATGGTCAGTAGTTATTGTAGGTGAGGGGGCGAATGGTCAGTAGTTATTGTAGGCGGGGGGCGAATGGTCAGTAGTTATTGTGGGGGGCAGGTGAATGGTCAGTAGTTATTGTGGGGAGAGAATGGTCAGTAGTTATTGTGGGGGGAGAGAATGGTCAGTAGTTATTGTAGGGGGCAGGCAGAATGGTCAGTAGTTATTGTGGGGGGGCGAATGGTCAGTAGTTATTGTGGGGGGCAGGCGAATGGTCAGTAGTTATTGTAGGTGAGGGGCAGAATGGTCAGTAGTTATTGTAGGTGAGGGGGCGAATGGTCAGTAGTTATTGTGGGGGCAGGCGAATGGTCAGTAGTTATTGTGGGGGAGAGAATTGTCAGTAGTTATTGTAGGGGGCAGGCAAATGGTCAGTAGTTATTGTAGGTGAGAGGGCGAATGGTCAGTAGTTATTGTGGTGGGGGCAATGGTCAGTAGTTATTGTGAGGGGTTTTCCAAATACTCATTGTTTTAACAACAACATTACACATATTTAATAAGATGGTCATAATTGTATCATTGGCAACACAGTACGTGCTTCACCAGGGCAATATATGATTTTGAATTCAGAGATTTTCCTTCTAGACTAATTGTTTGAAATTGTAATGGGCAAAAGAAATTGTTTGAAATTGTAATGGGCAAAGGTGATTGTTTGAAATTGTAGTGAGAAAAAAAGATTGTTTGAAATGGTAATGAGACAAAGAGATTGTTTGAAATATTTTCATAAGCTGAACAATAAATGAAATGTTAAAGAATCCCATGTTTCACAAATAATGATTTCTCTAACAGATAGGGGAAAAACTTGGAACAGTATTTTTTTTTATTTATTAACTTAATAACCACCATAAAGGTAAGTATGCCAATTTGAAAACTTTTTAGAAGTTTTTTGATTGTCAAGGTAAAAAATTTAACCATCATATGTTGCTTCTTTTTTTTCTTTTCTTTTTTAATGTTTTTTCATCTTTTATTCATATTTTTGTCTTTGATCTTATCAAAACAACTTTCAATTTACAATAGATTTACAATCTTTTTCTATACAATTTTTTTTCTTTAAATATTTTTTTAAGGGTTTTTTTAAATGCAATATTTTACAAGTGAATTAGTCAACTTAATTAGCACCTTAGAATATTTTACACTCCCTATTAATTTGTACTTTTATCCTTTAGATCTCTATAATAAATCTAACTTTGATGCTTTATTGAAATTTATAATTGTTTCTTTTTTCCAGAAATAGTTTTAAATACTTCACATTTTGAATTTTTAAGATCAAGGATTTGCAGACATTTAAAGAGATTAATTTAAAAAGAACATTACTAAAAATTAAGGATTAGGATTTTTGAGCTGATAGTTGCAAATTTTAACATTTTAAGTACATTCCATGATTCTTGATAGCCAAGTACCAGGTAACAGTTATGCGCACGATCGTCACAAGTCACTTCAGTAGTAAGGGCTACTAATTGAAGGTCAGTATTTAACAGATCCCAGCCTCTTCACTATGTAGGATGCGGCACAAGGCCAAATTTAATATGAGGCAGTCCGAGCCTGTAGGCTCAGCCAAAAATTCCCCATAACCCCGCATAAATGGGTTCGGGTCTGTCTACCAGTTGCATGTGGCACAAGGCCGAATTTAATGTGGGGTTCCCAAGCCCATAGGCTCGGCCAAAAAATCTCCGTAGCCCCTGCATAAATGGGATCAGGTCTGTCTACCTCCCCGAACGAGACTGCCCTTCAACATAGCCTTGTCCAGGTTCCTCTCTGCCCAAAGGCAGAGAGTTTGACCAGCACAGCTGAAAAAGATTCCATCTAGACTCTGTAGTCCATTGACTTACCAATACTTATAGGTAGTTACTACCGAGGGTGACAGGTTATTCCATAACATCACTAAGGATTAAAATTAATTTTAAAAAATGAAAAATCTTTCTTGAAGCTTTCATTTTAGCTTTAATTCAAAACTAAAAGATTAAATTTAATTTTACTATTTCCAGTAAGCAAAATACTTTAATGTATTTCAAACTGAATTTATATTGATTGGAATCGATTTTCTTTCTTTTTTTTTTTCAGTAACATCGACAAATTCATCCATTTTTGAGACATTTGTAAACAGAAGTTCTCTGTTCTAAAAATCTTGCAGGAATAAAATATACTTTTCTGAAATGTTGAGAAAGATTAGCAAATTTAAAGTTTAATTAATCTGATTTGAAACAAATATTACTCATTTTTATTTATAAAAACCAGATGTAAGTAAAAGCTTGTTAATTAGTAAATCATATTTCCAGATTACATCCATTTTATTCAAGGTGACCCAGACTTTAGCTTTGCAGATTTTCACATCCTTTTCAGTAGAATTTATTTCACTTCTTAGGTATGTAAAAGATTCAACAGATTTTATTAATTATCTTGAAACAGTTTGTATTGAGCCTTACTGGTTGAAACGTATGAATTTAGTTTTAGAAGTATTAACATAGTGTGCAACATCGTTAACAGCATTTTCTAGATGCTGTGGAATTGCTAGTGGTGTAATTCAAGTGTTTTCAAATGCCTTACAACATTCATTATATATATTGAATATATATAAAAATATGTAGAATATATTTAGAGATGAAAGAACTTCAAAACAGAGAATTTGAACTTAACTCTTTTATTAATATCGGCATGTTCTTAACTCTCCAGTGGGGGTTGTTCCCGATCACTGGGGAGCTGTTTCAGGCATGAAAGAGAACATGTCTGCATTGCTTGACATGTAAGAACCAACTCCCTGAAAAACCTTTCTCTAGATAGAGATTCCCATGCTAGCTCAGCCAATAAAAATCGACTTCCTTATTTTGGCTTGCATCTGACCTTGAAGTTCAACCTCCTGATACATTTCCCCCAAAACATAAACTATTATTTAACAGTATCTTTCCCTTGTTTTTCCTACTCATTTCATTTCACTTGTTGCTTTCAATAACAGTTTCACAGTTTATTTATGAAAGACATCATACAAATTTAATCTCCTCCTTGTCTCTAATTTGTATTCTATATCTGAAGTTATTATTTGAGAGGTCATCATGACAAAGAAATTATTTTAAATGTTCATAAAACTATTAGTCATTGAATATTATTATTGAAATCTATATTCTGAGAATATTGTAAATTAAATATAATCATTTTATTTATTTTTTTCTTTCTTCCCAATCAGATAATTATCATTGGGTCTTACTTCATTGCAAGTTGCTTCTTCAGTGTCTATGAAATGGCCGTAGACACCATCTTCCTGTGCTTCGGTAAGTACGAAAACCTTTTGTCTACTCTTCTCTTGGTTTTAAAAAAAAAAAAAAAACTAGAAATTATCAGATGAAATCATCATCATATAATTTTGTTTGTTTGGAAAGATGGAAAAGAGTCGATTTAATCAATGATACATTGATTTGTGACACAAAGCCAAAGGGAAAGGGCTGGTCAACACTGTCGGTCGTACTCCTAGCTAATCCGGTTCACAACCAGTTCACTATAAATGACAATCACTGCAAGAACGAACCCCTCCCCATTCAATCTGAACATGTACCAAAATTTTTGCAGGGAACCTAATAATATACCCCTTTTCTTTTTTTTTATTTCTTTTTTAGCCGCTACTTATTTGAGTGAGAAAATGAACGAAAGAAAGAAGAGAAGATAGAGAAGTGTTTAACGTCTGTTTCAGTGAAATGGAAAAAAGTCAAATCTTTTCATTTGTACTCCCTTACTTCTTAAAATAACAACCAGCATTCATATTATGATTGCAATATTTTGTTAAAATTGTTACGGTCGAATATTTAACGATGTGGTCGTAGAATTTCTACGGATATTTGTCGTAGGACTCACTATTCAATCATTAAGAATTAAGATTCATCAGAAAATTCAAATAGGAAAACTACAAAATTTTCATGGCTATTTCTAATATATATTTATTTGCCGAGTAAAATTATAAAATTCTTTTCAAGTGACGTTTTGAGATATTTTCATAGGATTGTTATATAAAAAATACTTTTCTGTCTTTCTCTCACTCGACATTTAGAGACACAATGTCAGACCATTTAGCTGCAACAGTTAGCCTATAAAATTCTCTGTTAATGTATGAAAAACTAGGAAATGTTGCCTTGGAAACAACTGTTTTATTTGTCAATAGGCGACACTTGAGCATCCTTTGGGACAGCCAATGGTGAAGTGGAAATATCAAACTGGCTATTTGAGCTGCCATTTCAGGGTTTTCTTTTTAATCAAAGAAAATAATCAATTTCATTTATTGCTTTAGTGTTTAATGCAAAAAATATTAAGATTTTTTTTTTTTTTTTTGCCTGACTTCAGTAATTTTTTTCATTTTCTTTTTTCATTCTCCTTTGTTTCTATTCTCTTTTTTTTTCGTTCCTTTTTACTGGTTCTCTTTTTTGTTTCCTTCCTTTCATTCTCGTTTTCATTCTTTGTTTTTTGTTTGTTTTTTTGTTCTCTTTCTTTCATTTTCTTTTTTCATTCTCTTTTCTGTTCACATTTTTGTTCTCTTTTTCATTTTGTTTTATTCATTTTCTTTTTCATTCTCTTATTTTAGTTTTCATTCTATCATATTCTTTTTTCTCCTTTTTCTATTTTCTTTTTTTCATTCTCCTTCTTTCGTTCTCTTTTGTTTTCTTTTTCATTCCCTTTTGTTTTCTTTTTTCGTTCCCTTTTGTTTTCTTTTTTCATTCTCTTTCTTTTGTTCTCTTTCTTTCATTTTCTTTTTTCATTCTCTTTTGTTTTGTTTTTCATTTATTTGTTCTCTTTCTTTCGTTCTCTTTCTTTCGTTCTCTTTCATGTTCTTTTTCCTTTCTCTTTTTTGTTCTCCTCTTGTTTTCTTTTTTGTTCTCTTTCATTTTCTTTTTCATTCTCTTTCTTTCATTTTCTTTTTCCTTTTTCTTTTTTGTTCTCTTTCATTTTCTTTTTTGTTCTCTTTCGTTTTCTTTTTTTTAGTCCTCTTTCTTTCGTTTTCTTTCTTTTTGTTTTCTTTTTCATTTGTTCTTTTATTGTTTTCATTCTTTCTTTCATTTTCTTTCTTTTCTGTTCTCTTTTTCATTTTAGTTTATTTGTTCTCTTTTTTGTTCTCTTATTTTTGTTTACATTTTATCATTTTCTTTTTTTTCCCATCTTTTTCGTTTTCTTTTTTTGCTTCTCTTTCTTTCATTTTCTTCTTTTGTCCTCTTTTTTTCATTCTCCTTTGGTTTTCTTTTTCTTCTTCTTTTCTCTGTATGAGGTGCATGATATGAATTTAAGAAGTGAGGGTTATGAGGATAAGGAGGATAGATAATAATTAAGCCCTAGACTTGAAGAGGTTAAGATTTGAAGTCTTTGGGAAAGCATCTACATCTGTCCCCAGTTTGTTCCAAAAAGGATCAGTTTGTGCAGAAAAGCTGTTTGTGTTTTCTTACCAAAGAAATATGTAGGAAATTGTGGGCAGAACAAGGTGGGTCTTAGTTGTAAAGGACTGAGCTGGTGGGTACTAAAAAATGGAGCTCATCTGAGCATTAGCCATGGAGAAGTAGAAATAAAGTAGCAACTCTGGGGAAAAAGGCTTGCAGGGTGTTATACCTGCCAGGGCTGGTATGTACTACTTCACAATCCCATTGGGAAGAGGGGGTAGTGCTTTGTGGCCCTCACTATCTCAACAACATTTGCTTTTCTCTACCTACATTTAAATATTTTACAAATTAAACTTACCAGAACTGATTATTAAAGGATGAAAAATTTTCACGGATTTTGACATCATTCTGTGGTTATTTTTTCTTTTGTTTTTTTTTTATCCAAATCCCATGAATTTGCTTTGCTTATGCTAAATCTAAAAAAACATGATATAAAATTCATTATTTTTTTTTCTATAAGGTTGAATGTCTTAAATTATTCAACTTTTTAACATTAAAACTCTCGAGTTGATGTTAAAAATTACTGCAAAACATTATTGATTTATTTAAGATGGGATGATCAATTATGACATGTCTCTAATTTGTATTTAGATACATTGTATTTATTTTCAATTTTTCTAGTTGAAATATTCACCTATATTGCATATGATCCATTATTGTACATAATTAGGTTACAATAAAATTTGTATTTTATATGAATACTACCTTATGAAAACTGGGAGGTAATAGAATGTGAGGGTGGAGCGTATCATAAATTTGATGGCAGGTACAAGACCCTTGCACTGGGCCTGGATGAGAGAACAAAAAGAGGTAAGACTAAGAGTTACTTTGAGCAGCAAAAGACAGGAAGTTGTTGAGAGCCATGATCGTACAAAGTGTTGTTGATTTATTTAAAATGGAATGATCTATATTATGACATGTCTCTAATTTGTATTTAGATACATTGTATTTATTTTCAATTTTTCTAGTTGAAATATTCACCTATATTGCATATGAGCCATTATTGTACATAATTAGGTTACCAGAAAATTTGTATTTTATATGAATACTACCTTATGAGTGGGTGTGGGAGGCATATCATAGATTGAGGGAGGAGGGGCATAAGACCTTTGCACTGACCCTGATATCTGCCAGCATCCTTGTCAGCCATATTATATCATATTATATATTTTAATTCTTAGCTATGGATTAAATAGCAGGGTAGGCCTGGCTCTCTAGCATTGAGTGGCAGCGAGTTTAAGAGAAAGACCAGAAAAAACTGTAGAAAAGCCAACAGGAAACCACTCCACTGGATAATTTAAAAAAAATGGAATCTGTGAAGCGCTCTTATTATCTATGTCCTGAAGAAAAATGCTATTTAAAAAAAAGAAAAATACCGTAATTTCTCGAAAATAATACACACCACAACAAATGACCCAAAAATTAACAAATATATCTATCCCTATGTATAATACGCATCTATAAATTTTGTCAAAAAAAAAAAACAACAAAATAATTACAAAGACATTTTGTCAACCTTGACATTAAGATTAAAATCGTAACTAAGCAGCTAAAATAATGTTGAAAATTACCATGCGGTTTTCCTGATAAATATAACATTTTATTTTACCACCAAAATGAGATTCCGTCAGTGACGAGGTTATAAAGAGAAGTTTCAAGAAGTGTTGTCTCCCGACAGCCATGGATGGCTCTGAAGATGACAACCTTTGGTAAGAGAATGAAGAAGCTGAAGATAATTTTGAACAGGATGAAGATAATATTGTAAATGATAATTTATTTAATAACAATGGCGATTGCTGTATGAGTCGTACAATTTTTGAATCAGCACGGGCAATGCCAGGCCATGCTGCTAGTATAATATATACAGAATAGATTTTTAAAAAAGCCTGTCAAAAAAAGAAAAATTATAAATTAATACAGTAAATAAATATAAATATATGTAGCACATTACGATAAAGAGGTTGGCATACATATAAATACGCAACTACATTTTTGGCTAAATGTCCTTCAGCCAAATGTCCAAGTACTGTTTTAACAGCATATCAACTTGGTTGGTTATTTAATGCTGAAAAGATTTTTTTTTAATATATGTTTTGTAAACGACCCTCTCTCATTTTTATTCCACCTAAAACTTTGAACTTTTATTTACTATTGACTTACTTTACTTAATAGGAGTAGATAGGTTTGTCAATCATCCGGTTCACACTCCTCCCCAGTCTTTTTCAAAGGAGTAGAGGTTTATGCCTTGTTCCCTGTTTAGGATTGGATTTCCAGCTCCTAAAGTCTACTTCAACTCTATATTTCTAACATCTCCACCTAAAACTTTGAATTTTTATTTACTATTGACTTACTTTACTTAACAGGAGTAGATAGGTTGGCCTATCATCCAGTTCAAACTCCTCCCTGGTCTTTTGAACATGACTAGAGGTTTATACCTTGTTTCCTGTTTAGGACTGGATTTCCAGCTCTTTCTAAAGACTTTTCCTTCTCTTTCACTTCCATTGGCCTCTTGTGTTTTGATGACATTATCACACACACATATGGTTGACACATTTTCTTGACTAATTGTTTTTTTTTTTTTTATAGTTTTTTCAGTTTTTAATACCAGAAAGTATTTTTAGATTGTGAGAATTTTTGTTAGAATAATGCATGGCACATAACTGAAGTTGCAATGTAGACGATGTAGGGGAAACAACTTTGTAAGGGTCACATCCCAAATCCCACAATTCAATTGTGCCCTTTTTGGTCATATGACTAGGTCTGGATTTGGAGGGAAAGTCAAAGCAAAAAAAAAAAAAAAAAATTACTAAAAAATTTGAATGTTTTAAGAAGTTGTTAGTCTTTAGTAGTTCTTGACATTGGTTATTGGCACACAAGATAATTGTGGTCTTAAAATTACTGTGAATTTTTAAAATTTATTAATTTCTTTGTATCTCTTATTTTTCAAGAAATAAAAAGCCGGAACTTTTTGTGTTCTTAAAAAAGGTCAAGACCAGCTATACTAGTAGTTCCCAACCTTTTTATCTTATGGCTCACTTTGAACCCAGAATTTTTCTGTGGACAATGAAATTATTATATTGTAAAAAATTATTTCTATTTTGTGGCCCATAAGCTGTTGCCTATATATATAAATTGGTGTCACAGTGAAAATAATACTTCCGTGACCCACCTGAAATTTGCCATGGTCAATTTTAAGAAACACTGCTCTAGACTAATCATGTCATAAAATTTTTAATGTATAGGGGGAAGGTCACTACAATTGGTTTGAATATGTTTTACAGTATATGCTTTCTGACATACTGTGAATTCAGGAGAATGTTCATTACTTTTGGGAGAAATGAGTGAACGATGTGGATGTGTCTTATTCTGATTCTTGATAGGACGACTTTTTCCCTCCAAGAAAATCTGAGACTATGATGCCATTTTTCTAGAATGAGTTTAATTTTGCAAATTTTGTTGTTTGGGTGGTAGTTCCATAACTCTAGCCACTTGTTTAGAACATACAAGATTTTCAAAATTGAAATACTTATTTTTATGGATTCTTTTGCTGCCATGTCAGTATTGCCATTTTGGTGAATACCAAAATGGCAAACCATTTTTAGAAATTTATCTGATGTTTTCAAGGCTAATCTGCATGAGTAAGAAGGAAAGCAGAAGTTTCATGTGTTGTTATTAATACTGTGAGGCTGAAATCTAACCTCCCCCCCCATAAATGTCATTGGACACAAAACTCAATTTGCATTCAGCAATTTGTTACTATTATGTTTCAGCTTTTATTGTTCTGCTTACGCCCATATCATAATAAAACACCAGTTCTCATCCAGTCACTGAAGTTAAGCAACATACAGTACACAGATGGGTAACCATTTGGGAATCCCAGGTGCTGTAAGCTTGGATATGTGGGTGGCATAACAGATAATGGCTCAGTATTGTTAATCAGAGAGTTGAGTTCCAATTCCTGTTGGGGTCGTTATATTCACTTACATGCAAATACTCTTGGGAAAGTTATGAATCTACTTCTTCTCCTCCCCGGCTATGGCTTAATCAGTAAAAATTGTCTAGCTAAATCTTTTATTGTTCGGCCATATCACATTGAAACATTGGTTCTCATTCAATCAAAAATGTTAAGCAATGTTGAGCTTGGTCAGTACCTAAATGGGTGACAGTTTTGGAATACCAGGTGCTGTAAGCTTGGATGTTACTCGTAAATACCCCTGGGAAAAGTATGAATCTGGCTCATCCCTCTTCAGCTATGGGTTAAATAGTAGGACTTGTATCAATAAATCATCATTATCTCCAAAAAATACTTACAATCCAAAAATATTTCCTGGCTTTAAATAACCTGCAAAAAGGTTGGTAAGCCATAAAAATACATTGTCTTTATTTTTTTTCTATCAGTTTCATTAACTATTCTTTCCATCAAAAATTCTGCCCTTGAAATCTCAATCACATCTGTTACTGTCCTACTAAACTATTTTTTTTTCTCTTTCCAGTGGAAGACACAGAAAGAAACGATGGCTCAAATGATCGTCCTTACTATATGAACAAGGAACTGATGAAGATCTTGGGCAAGAAGAACAACAAGCTACTTGACGGTAACAACACGGACTAATGATGCCAAATTAGCCAGCCAGTGTTTACCAGCATCTTCTTGTTTCCAGAAATCTTTGAGATTTTGCTTGCGACAACCTGCGGCGTGTTTGCCTCACAGGATGCTATGCCTGGAATGAGGAATAATCACTTTTCAACCATTACTGTCTTAGTCTCTCCTTCTCTGATTGCTCTTTGCTTTCTGTGAGCATCCTCTCTCTTTCCCTCCATCTTTTTTTTTTTAATTATTTTTATTC